ACGGAGGAGGGGTGCTTGTAACCCAGTGCTCGGGAAGCTGACGGAGGAGGGGTGCTTGTAACCCAGTGCTCGGGAAGCTGACGGAGGAGGAGTGCTTGTAACCCAGTGCTCGGGAAGCTGACGGAGGAGGAGTGCTTGAGGCTAGCACCTGGGCGACATCGCGAGACCCACTTCTGCAAAACGTGTTTTAATTAGCCAGTGGTGATGTCTATTGTCTCACTTACTCCGGAGGCTGAGACGGGAGGATTTGAGGCCAGAAGTTTGAGGCTGCAGTGAACTGTGATTTCACCACTGCACTCCAGCCTGGATGACAGAGAGAAACCTTATCTCTTAAGAAAGAAAAAAAGACGGGGTTTCACCATGTTGGTCAGGCTGGTCTTGAACTCCCGACCTCAGGTAATCCACCAAAAAAAAAAAAGGGAAAGAAAAAAGGCTGGTAGCTGGTGGCTCGTGCCTGTAATCCCAGCACTTTGGGAGGCCAAGGCAGGTGGATCACAAGGTCAAGAGATCGGGACCATCCTGGCCAACATGGTGAAACCCTGTCTGTACTAAAATTATGGAAGTTAGCTGGGGGTGGTGGTATGCACCTATAGTTCCGGCTACTCGGGAGGCTGAGGCAGGAGAATCATTTGAACCCAGGAGATGGAGGTTGCAGTGAGCTGAGATGGTACCATTGTACTCCAGCCAGGTGGCATAGTGAGACTCCGCCTCAAAAAAAAAAAAAAAAAAAAACAGTTCTAGGGCCAAAGGCATTTTTTCAACAACATGAAATGATGTCAGTTGCATTCCCTAGGTAAGGATCATGGAGGGGTTGAGGTAAAAGTTGCATGTGAGCATGTAGCACTGGCAAACATGGAAAGGCGCTGGGAGGGCCTCGCAGATTGGCTCCACCCCTCACCCTTCACTTCCAAACACTCCCCTCTGGAGGTTTTGGTGGAATCGTCAGATACTCGCCCTGTGTTCTGATGTCCCGTGGTCTCACGTGCCGCCTTCTGTGTCTGCGGTCGTGTG